GTGACCACACTACGCCTCAGTATCTCATCTGAAAAATAGAAGAACAACAGTTGCTACTTTATAGAGGTACAACCAAATATAATACAGTCAGCCCTTTATATCTATATATTTTGCATCCATGGATTCAACCAACCGTGGATCAAAAATATTTTTTAAAAAATGAATGGTTGCATCTTTTCTTCTTGTCATTATTCCCTAAATAATACAATATAGCAACTATTTACATGGCATTCACATTGTATTAGGTATCATAAGTAATCTAGAGATTATATAAAGTATATGGAATGGGCCAGGCACAGTGGCTCATGCCTGTAATTTCAAAACTTTGGGAGGCCAAAGCAGGAGGATCACTTGAGCCTAGGAGTTCAAGACCAGCGTGGGCAACATAGCAAGATGCCTGCCTCTCCAAAAACTTTTGAAAAAATTAGCTGGGTGTGGTGGTGCATGCCTGTAGTCCTACCTACTAAGGAGACTGAGGCAGGAGGGTCACTGGAGCCCAGCAGTTCAAAGCTGCAGCAAGCAATAATTGTGCCACCACACTCCAGTCTGAATCACAGAGATCTTTTCCTCTAAAAATAAATAAATAAATAAAAATAAACAATCAAAATAAACAAAGAAATAAATTTTTTATTCTCCCCCAAAAAAGTATACGGGAGAATATGTGCTTATGTTATACATAAATACTATGCCATTGTATATAAGGAACTTGAGCATCCATGGATTTGGATATCTGAAGGACGTCCTGGAACCAATCCTATGCAGATATTGAGGGACAACTGTATATGCAAAGCACTTAGCACAATGCTTGACATGTAGTAAGAGCACAATAAACATCAGCAATTACTATTTATCCTACAAAGAACCATTTTTGCGATGAGGAAAACTTGAAGTTGAAAGAGGCCATGTAACTTTCCCAACGTTATTTAATAAATGAAGGAGTCTAAAGTTTTCTCTCAGACACTCTCCTCTATTGCCTCTACAGTGTGATTTGTGCATTTATGAACAAGGCTTGGGTGCTATAGGAGCACAAAAGAGTAGCATCTAACCCAGCCTTGTAGGAAAGGAGTTGGGGCATGCTTCTAGAGGAGGAAGGGCTTCAGCTGAGCCTTAAACATCAAACAAGAATTAGACAGAAAAGGAGACCGGAAAGAAGTAGAAGCTAGAGGTTGGGGGCAGGGTGAGGGTATTCTATCCAGAGATAGGAGCTTGTCAAAGACATGGTGAAATGAGAAATAGCAGGTCCAGGGAACTGAGGAATGGGTAAGGATGACACCAAAGGACCACCTGTGTTGGGATTACAGCTCTTGCTCCATTTCTTCTATCAACATACAACTTGTGGAATACAGGATGATGTCACTGCTTTCTCCCAACAAGCCCTTATCTTTGAGTTCACCCTCCAGTTCATCTTTGCTGGTCTGAATTAGGTTCAGAGGGGTAAATCCTCTCCATATTCCTTCTACTTTTTGAAAGATTAATTCCTTATCTCAAAGATGAGACTTGCAGCAAATGTTCAGATGACTAAATTCCCATCTCTATTCTACTGTACCCCTCTTAGCTTTGTGATCTATTTGTGGATGGCTCCCAAAATGTGCAAGTTCTCTCTTAACCACCTGGTATGGATTTGTCTTCTGTGCATTTAATATCAAGTTTTCTTGAATATTCGTCTCTTCAGTCTATGCCCCTTCTTGAGCTAGAAACATATGGAACTTTGTTCCATATGTTGGTTTACTCTCTGCTAAATAAAAATGGACTAGTTGTTTTTTCTAAAATAATCCCCCTTTAAAATTAAAAAAAAAAATCCTTTGTTATTAAGATTCTAGGGTTTGTCAACAAGTCTTTCTATACCTGTGATGACTTTATTATAGACATAGCACCAAGTAATACACCGCCCCCACCACCAATGGTGGTCCCTTCCTTGTGTATTAAACTGAGTTTAGAAGCCACAGAGCCTCCAGCAGATGTCTCACCAGAATATTCTTTTCCACCTCACATGCCAGTCCCTCATTTTACCTGGGCATGCTTTGCAGCAGGCCAGCTTCTCCTTATGACTGGACCACACTGTAACATTTTGAGTACCATGTTGAGGATACTCTCACTACCAACCACCAAAATGGAGGAATGATCTTTCCTATCCCTCCCCCTTTTCTTCTCTTGAACAATTTTATCTATAGGGTCTCCCTAACTAGAACATCAGCACAGTTGAAGGGACATTTATTTATTTATTCATTAATTTATTGTTTATTATTTATTTATTTACTTATATATAAAGAGAAATAGGATCTAGCCCTGTCACTCAGGCTGGAGTACATGAGCATAGCTCACCACGACCTCAAATTCTTGGGCTCAAGCAATTCTCCTACCTCAGCCTCCCATGTAGCTGAGACTACAGGCACACACCACCATACCTGGCTTTTTTTTTTTTTTTTTGGTAGCTCTAGGGCTTTGTTATGTTATTCAGGCTGGTGTCAAACTGGTGGGTCTAAGTGATCCTCCCAACTTGGCCTCCCAAAGCTCTGGGATTATAGGCATGCCTGGCTGAGGGAAGATTTTAAATGCTCAGACTTTTACTTTTAGGGAATGTTTGTGTCACTCAATGGGACAACTAGCAGTAAACTCTATCCTCAACCATAAAACATTGCAATTTTAATTGTTGTACAGGTACAGGTGAAGGTAACATTATCTATGCAGGAAAAGCAACTAATTCAGTATGACCCTATCAATCAACATATTGATTACATAGTTGTTCTAGTTGTGGCCTTAGTGTCTGTCAGGCAATCAACAAACACTTATTGAATGCATTCTGTGTTCAAGGTCATTATACTTCCAGGGACTCTGGATCCTCAGAATGGCATTCCTACTCACTGCAGCTGCTTTTTAAAATTCTGAACTACAATCTGCCCTGGCTTCTGTTAACCAGCTGCTGTGCTAGCTGCTTGTGCTCTTTACTGCTGGCCTCCTGCCTGCCTGATTTCTGGTATCTAATAGACATCATCAGGTTTTTACTGTGCCCTCCTACCAGAGCCAGATTACTTAGCCCCATATCTTCCTCATTTTTCAACCCTCTGCCTGGCTGTGTGATGCCTTGTATTGCCTGGCCCTGACTCCTGAAAATTTTGATCCTGTGGTAGGTCTGACTTGCCATATTGTCTGGTTCTTGTGCCCTGGCCCCCGAACTCCAGACTCTCATCTTACTATTGATTCTCAAATGCTTCACCAGCTGGCATTTACTTTCACCAAACAAAAAACAAATTTCCTCCTGTTAGGCTAGTTCTCCCGCAGTGTGATGCTGAAAAGATCATGGAATTTATCTATGATAATCAGAGAAGAGCCACTTAACAAGTTGAGAAGGGCCATGTGCACATTACCCAGGCATCTCTTAAAAGGGCTCCCTGAGAGTCAGGCCAGTGCAAAGCACAGCCTTAATCAAAATGAACTAGCCCTTATTGTGCAGCCTACTGACAGCAAAATTATCAACGGGGTTGAAATCTCTACTTTAATCTATTGATAACAGTAATAGTAATAGTTTACATGTATTCATTCATTTATTCAATCAATGTCATTTAGTGCCATACATAGTAGCTGTATGGTATGTCTCTTCCTCCATAGACCTTACATTCTAGTGGAGAGGGAGAGAAAAATAAACATTTAAACCAAAAGTTACCTAATATAATTTTATGAAGTTTCAAGTGCTACAAAGAAAAGTAAACAAGACAATAGGATAGAGAATAACTGATAAAGATACATTAGGTAGAGCAACCAAGGGAAGCCTCTCTGAAGAAGTGACATTTGAGCTCAAACCTTGATGATAAGACGGCAGCCATGTAAAGATAAGGGGACAGATCACATTCAGACCGAGGGACTCCTTAAAACACTTCTCACTTACCTCTAAAATGAACTGAAGAACAAATCCCTAGGCCTCTCAAAATACATTGTGCTCATCAAGAACAACACATTTCAAACACATGGCAAAATGCATCCATTCTTAAAGTAGCATTTCTTATGTTCTGCATGGCTTCCATGGGCTTGGGCAATGGCTAATCTATGCCACACATGAGCTGGCTGCATTTTATTGCTATATTCAGATTTCTGAATATAAAACAAAAGAAACCCTAGACAACAAAAGCATAGCATAGCAGTTACATGTTTGGATGTGAAGACTAAGAGAGGAAATAATAATTTGAGAAGCCATGTAATGTAGACTAATATAGTGGTTTTGGAAAGGCAGACAGACCTAGATTTGAATTCTGGCTCAACAATTACTAGTAAGGTATCCTTGGGCAAGTCACTCAATCTCTGAATCTCTGTTTCCTCATCAGTAACAACATTTTATAAGGATCATAATGATAATGTATGCTTGTAAAAGTACTTAACATGCTTATAAGTTCTCAATAATAGTTGAGTTCTCAATAATAAAAGTCTCAATAATAGTTGCTTAATGTATCATTAACAATGATCTGTATAAAGTGTTAATTTGAGAATCCTCAAGCTCCTCCATGCAGTTTAGAGCTGTCTGGGTCCTGTGAGAGCCACAAAAGAAGTATCAGAAAAGGTAATTTGCTCTCATGTTCACTCAGCCAGCAAAGGCCAGAACTCAGATTCTAATCCAGTGCTATCTAACCCAAGCACCATATACTTAACCACTGCATTTATTGCCTCTTCATAATTAGAATGGTAAAAAATAACATGGTCTGAAGACAAAAGAGAAAGTTTGGTAGAGGAAGTAGCTCTTGAAATAAGCCTTGAAATTTTTTAGGCTATGCATAGACTGAGAAGAGGGAATGGTATTTCAGGTAGAAAAGCAAAGCATAAGACATAGAAGTGGAAACAAACAAATGGACATGGATGGTTAGCCTGTGTTAGGGAAGAGCCCAAAAAATGTGAGATCACCAGTCTATCTCTCACATATCTGGCAGCCCCTTCATTAAGCAGATCACTTTATGTTTTCTCTCTCTTTTCTTGCTCTTAGAGAATTAACTAACCTGCCCTTTGATCTTTTTTAGGCTCTTTGAGACTCTTCAGTCACTTTTCTGGTCTGTATTTGGCCTTTTAAATCTATATGTCACCAATGTGAAAGCCAGACACGAATTCACTGAGTTTGTAGGAGCTACCATGTTTGGAACGTACAACGTCATCTCCCTGGTAGTGCTGCTGAACATGCTGATTGCTATGATGAACAACTCCTACCAGCTTATTGCCGTGAGTAGCTTTGCTTTACAAGGGTGCCTACTTTGGTTTCAGGATGGGGTAACATTGGTATGGCCTCCATTAGAAGCTTAATAAAAGAGTTCGTCTGCTTCAATTAATTTACATTAGCTTTCCTAGTTGCTACGCTGAATTATTTATTTCCAATGCAATTCAGTTTGGACTCTTGGTCTATTGAATCTTGATCATGTAATATAAGTTATTTTAGTGAATAAGATTTCTAGCTACCTATTGAAAATATTTCTAAATCTCTGAATCCATTTTCTTGCCTTAGTGGAAAACTCAGGGTTCAAACATGATTTGGCTACAACGTGTCACCTCACTCATCTCCAGGGTTAATTCAGCTGATCTGGTTCCCTAGGCAAGAGCGCCCTATCTCCCTTTTCACTGCAAACATCTCCTTCTGAAAAGTAAGAATCCCACTGACAAGAATTGTCTTCTCAGAGAGAAACAGAGAAGGGAGGAGGTTACTTTTCTCCTATTTTAAAAATTAGAGATGGGGTCCTGATATGTTGTCCAGGCTGGTCTGAAACTCCTGGCTTCAAGTGATCCTCCCACCTCAGCCTCCCAAAGTGCTGGGATTATATGCAGGAGTCACTGCACCCATCCAGTAGCTATTTTTAATTGAATATATATAAGAAACTGTACCCCATTTATTCATGTATTATACTTTAAGTTCTGGGGTACATGGGCAGAATGTGTAGGTTTGTTACATAGGTACACATGTACCATGGTGGTTTGCTGCACCCATCAACTTGTCATCTATATTAGGCATTTCTCCTGTTATCCCTCCACTTGCCCCCCACACCCCACAACAGGCCCTGGTGTGTGATGTTCCCCTCCCTGTGCCCATGTGTTCTCATTGTTCAACTTCCACTTATGAATGAGAACATGTGGTGTGTGGTTTTCTGTTCTCGTGTCAGTTTGCTGAGAATGATGGTTTCAAGCTTCATCCATGTCCCTGCAAAGGACATGAACTCATCCTTTGTTATGGTTGCATAGTATTCCATGGTATATATGTGCCACATTTTCTTTATCCAGTCTATCATTGATGGGCATTTGGGTTGGTTCCAAGTCTTTGTTATTGTGAACAGTGCTGCAATAAACATAGGTGTGCATGTGTCTTTAGAGTAGAATGATTTATAATCCTTTGGGTACATGCCCAGTAGTGGGATTGCTGAGTCAAATGGTATTTCTGGTTCTAGCTCCTGGAGGGATTGCCACACTGTCTTCCACAATGGTTGAACTAATTTACACTTCCACCAACAGCGTTAAAGCATTCCTATTTCTCCACAACCTCTCCAAACATCTGTTGTTTCCTGACTTTTTAATGATTGCCATTCTAACTAGTGTGAGATAGTATCTCACTGCGGTTTTGACTGCATTTATCTAATGACCAGTGAGATAAGCTTTTTTTCATGTCTGTTGGCTGCATAAATGTTTTCTTTTGAGAAGTGTCTGTTCATATCCTTTGCCTACTTTTTGATGGGGTTGTTTTTTTCTTGTAAATTTGTTTAAGTTTTTGTAGGCACTCTTAAGTAGAGTCCATTGCTGAATTTTTTTTTCACCATCTTGTTACCATTTAGATCATCAGTGTTTATTACCCTAGACTAGACATGGTGAAGGTGTAGGATACGGGATCAATTCAGGCCTTGCCCTGGTTTTTCTGTCAAAGTAGATGTCTAACTTAACTTATTTTATTTTAATCTGTGTATAATTCCTAGAAATTGGGTTTTAGGAAAGGAGTCCTTATTACCTGAGATCTGATTTAGTCAGGTATTAGTAAATTTGAATGTTCAGTTTCTAGTATAATGCTAGATTACCCCCTCTGGGTCAGTCTGTTGCTGAAAGGTTTTGCTGTGGCAGAGAAAGCACAGAAAAAAAAGACCCAAGTCTTGTCTTCTTTTCTAGATGCTATGTATCAGATTTTTGTTTGCCACTGAGGAGTTGTTTAGCCTGTATAAAATAAGCTCAAATTATTTGTTACATAAACATATATATGTATGTATATGTGTGTGTAAATATACATATATACATACATATATATATATATATATATATATATGTACATGCACACACATTGTCCATGTCTTAAATATTATTGGTATTAGTGAATGTTTATGATCCATTTTCACTAAGGACAGAACCAACAAGGAATGGAGTAGGAGACTTTTGAGTTACATATTTGGGAGAAATTCCTAGCTATAAATGTCAATGAAATAAATATATTCTCACAGGTGGGTCTATAGAATTTCTGTTATTGGAGAGTTTAAAAAATTAGGATATAAAATTGTCTGCTAGGATAGTTTAGGTATTAAGCATTTAGGTGATAGGGAAGGGAGGGGATATCGTGGGGAAAAAAAAAGATTTGAAGTTGATAAACCAGGGACTGTGATCCTTGCTCTGTCATTTATAATTGTGTGCCTTTAGTAACTTACTTTCCCCTCTTGAGCCTCAGTCTCTTCGTCCAAAAAGTGAGGGTTTTGAAATCAATGGTTTTTAATAACATTTCCAGCTCTGACATCCTATGAGTCTGGGTGCCTACAGATTAACAGGATAGGCTCACAAGGTCCTTTCTGGCTCTGAAATCATGTTCTTCTATCGCATTTGAAATGAAATATAATTCAGTTCTATTCATTTATTCCCCCTCATTCAAACAACTAGGCCAAGAACTCTGAAATGACTTGTGTTCACTGCTAGTCTATCTCTTTGAGGGGGAGAGGGAGGCATAGAATCTCAGGAGTTGACTTTTTCATCCCATCTGCCTGGCATTCTATCCTTCACCTCTGCCAAAATGGCAATATTCATGCAAAGGCATAGTAGAAAAGGGAGAGATTTTCTTGTCACCTAATGTAGGGTTGTGGTCCTTCTCACTGAGCTCAGTGACAATTTCTAGGAAGGGTGAAATCACCACCAGCTCTCATCATCACCTAGTAAGTTTTGTTTTAATGCCACCTACGGCTGCACCCAAAGGAAACTTGTTGGCTTGGGAGGGAGCCAATGGTAGATGGCTTAAATGGGGTCTATGCCATCTCATAAATCTGAACTCATGGCCAACTATTCTGAATAATATCTTTGCTGTTTTTGGATATTATGGGAGTGTGTTTTTACCACTTGGAAATAGATTCAGTGGAATCCTGATACTGGACAACCTGACTCCAAAAATATCTGGATCTGCTTAATTGGTAAGGACCAGAAGGTAGATTTAATTTCATTTGCAACAGCTCTGCTTCAGTACTGAACACAATTTGTACAAGGTGCTTGATATAGGGGGAAAGGTTACAGAAAGGGAAACTGCTGAAGACAAATTTCTCCTATTTTAAAACATATCACAGGCTGATTCAGTCTAGGTAGGGACTGAGTTGTCAATATGCCTCACTGTGAATCTATTTTGTGTACATTCTAGGACAGTGCTCCAGAACACCAGGCAAAACCAATCCCTTGAAGGGTTAAGCTCTTTGTCAACGTTCCATGCAGGATTCAGAGCTGCTGGTAATGTGGACATACAGCTCTGTAGCAATTTGTATTTCCATGTCAGAGGAGGCTCCACCTCAGTAGTGTATAGAGTTATGCTTAAGATAAAGTGAAAAAGGAATCCTTCCAAGCCTATGCTCTGTGGTCCCAGCATCAGCAGGTGAAGCTGGTCATAGTGTATATTATTATTGTTATTAGCAATTAGCAGTGATTTACTTCTCCTTTTATTCTTATATCTCCCTCAATCTCCTGATTACTCTCAATGACAGTTTTTAAAATACATCTATCTTGTCACTGCTGTCACTGATGTATAGGCACAAACTCCATCAAGCAAGCTGCCCTTGGTGCCATTTTAATCAGATTCATCCATTAAAAAATATTAGGTGGAAGATATAAGATCAATCCCACAAAGTTCATTACCTTAGGCCCTATTCCTACCCCCTACCCCACCCACAATGGACATCTCTGTTGCCTGAGATTAGTCTTTCCAATTATAGTGCTCATAATCGTCTGTGATAAAGCCTCATTCAGTAAGTTAATAAGAACCCTTGGTTTCTTTGGCTGCTGTGGAGTATTTGTTCTAATGCTGAAAGTAAGTAAAAAGTACTTGCCTCACTGAACCACAGCTGCTGGATGGCTTGGGGAGAGTCCAGATATATATAATTGGTTGTCTCCCTTAGGGTGGCAGCATTTGGAGGCCCAGATGATTAATGGAGTCTCCCAGACATTGATGCAAATGAAGACATTCATCCAAACAAACCTGGTACCACAAGATAGCAGGAAAGACTAGAGAGGGCTGTTGCATACCATCTTAATGTCAAGAAGGGCAGGTGGTCTCCCTACCCACATCCAGTCATCTAGGACCAACCTCAGATTCTCAAAGCCGAGACTATCAAAGCAGAGACTCTCAAAGCAGCACTTCACACACTATACCATGATTTTTAACCCTCTAACCAGGACTGATAACCAGCTGCTATGCACTGATATGGCTACTCAACTGTTAAAATATTGAAATATTTCCATACCATTTGGTAAATAGCTACCTCTCCAGTTGTACCTCCTGGGACACACCCAGACCTCCCTACAATCCAGCAAGTAAGGGGCAACATCTGGAACAGCCAGTAGAATCTAGGACTCTGTTCCAGAACTATAACTGGCCTCCATTTGGATTTACTGGTTTCTTAAATAGTTTGAATATCACTACAGTAGGCAAAACCCTAAAATGCTCCCCCTAGGTTTCCCACTCTAATCATCAAGACTATGAATATGAAGAGATATCACACTTGTGATTACATTGTATTACATGGTGAAAGGGATTTTGCAGATGTAATTAAAGTTAGTATTCAGGGAGATTATCCAGGTAGGCCTAATCTAATCACATGAGTCTTAGAAGCAGAGTTTTCTCCAATTGGTAGCAGAAGGAAAAGCACACAGATCTTACATGCTAGCAGGTGAGAGAGAGCAAGAGGGAAGGAGGAAGAGATCCTTATAAAACCATCAGATCTCATGAGAACTCACTA